TTTTTTACTTTTTAGATACATCTAAATAAGGTGCATTTAAAAAAGTAAAAAAAAATGCTTAAAATTTTAAAAATATTCACTAAAAACAAAAAACACACAAAAAATAAAAAAACTCAATTTTCAAAAAACTTAATCCAGAAAACTCAAACCAAACACATTAATTATGTTTTATTAGATTTTCTGGTGAATATAATTTTAAAAAATCTAAATGCCTTTTAATATTTATTTTGGCAAAACTAATTTTTAATTTTTCAAAAATAAGTTTTCAAAACAACCAAATCGAGTCTTGTTATGCAATTTGGAGGCTAGTGATTTCTTTTCCTAAAACTTGTCCATAATGCATTCTCAGTTATATTACGTAACGAAAATTCTAAAATATGAAAATCTCCAAAAACCAAACGAGAATTAAATTGGGGAAAGGGAAAAGAATTCTGAAGAGAGTGGATCCGTGCCCAATTTAAAGGCCTAAGAATCAAGAAGCTTGGTCCACTAAGGCTTCGTTTGGGAATCATCCCTTTTAGTCAAAAAGCTAAAAAGTTACTAAATTAGTCAAAAAGTCAACAGCCCATTCAAAAAATCAAAGATTCTCTTTTCTCTCTATTTTTTGCATATCTTTTCGTAAAAAGTCAAAAGTCATCCCAAACATACTAGTTTTTTTTAGCTCATATTTTAGCCAAATAGCCAAAAAATTATTAAATTAGCCTATTCCCAAACGAGGCCTGAGATTCGGGTACTAGTTTTATGAAGCTTCCTATGAATAATGGATTTTGGACACAGGATTGTTAAAAATGAACCTCTGTGTTTGTTATTTTCTTGCCTATAATTATCGTTTTCATTTTATTAACATGAAAATTTATTTTTACACATTTCTCAAAAAATAAATAAATTGTTTTTACACTTTTTTATTTTGCTCTTTGTGCAGAATGCCTGTATCTTTTTTTTTTTTAAAGTATTGCGATAATAATACATGCATGGGGGTGTAATTCTGAAAGCATCATATGCAGTTAAGATGGTGTTCTCAATAACAATGATCATTTTAGCTTAGTTTCTGTTCACGAACATATGTCAACGATGTTGAATTGCTGATTATATGGGTATTACGGAAATGTCCTCGTTGGGTCTAGTGCCATATTGTGGCCTTGACTCTCTTGAACATTTGATATGAAACGGTTGCAAAATGTTTGTATGTCCGTAATTGTTGACTTTTGGTGAATAGTGATAACTTTTTAACTTTTTGAGTAACTTTTTGGCTTTTTGGGGTGTTCCCAAACTTGGCCTTATTTTGCTCTTTATGCAGAATGCCTGTCTCTTTTTTTTTTTTTTTAAAGTATTGCGATAATAATACATGCATGGGGGTGTAATTTTGAAAGCATCATATGCAGTTAAGATGGTGTTCTCAATAACAATGATCATTTAGCGTAGTTTCTGTTCACGAACATATGCCAACGATGTTGAATTGCTGATTATATGGGTATTACGGGAAATGTCCTCGTTGTGTCTAGTGCCATATTGTGGCCTTGACTCTCTTGAACATTTGATATGAAACGGTTGCAAAATGTTTGTATGTGGATTTCTTGGGTGTGTTGAAGTGTAATCTTTGCTTGACCATTGCAGAGCCAACATGATGAGTTGGAGGCAAAGTTTTTTGAGGAGAGAGCAGCCCTTGAAGCTAAATACCAGAAGCTTTATGGACCACTGTACGATAAGGTATGGAGAATATCACTCATTATGTGGTATTACCTGTATATTGTATTTCAGCATTGCTAGCTTTTTTAAATGATTTTCTCGTGTATGTTATAATTTCTTGTAGTCAAAAGTTTAAATTTATGTGCATTGCTGATTTGTTTGATCAACATAGTTATTCTTTGTTGGTTGACTTGTAATGTGATCGGACATGTTGCAGAGGTGTGAAATTGTAAATGGTGTGGTAGAAGTCGAAGGAGTTACAAGTGAAGCCACAATGGACCTTGAGGATGATAAGTCTACAGAAGGTAGCTCACTTTTTTGGAAATTGCCGAATTCTTCTCTCTTTTGTTGGGAAACTATACACATACAAGCCTAATGTTTTTCTTTAACTGACATTTCTAAAGCCGAGAAAGGTGTTCCTGCTTTTTGGCTCAATGCAATGAAGAATAACGAAGTATTGGCTGAGGAGGTAAGAGATTGAATAATCCACTACACTTTCCCTGTCCCAATCCCCATGCCCCATCTTTTTTCTTCTCTTTTTGGTAATCGGAGTTGGTGTGATTTGTTGCCCCTTGTTTAGATCTCAGAGCGTGATGAAGAGGCCCTCAAATATCTTAAAGATATCAAGTGGTGTAGGATTGATAATCCCAAGGGCTTTAAGCTTGAGTTCTTCTTTGATACCAACCCTTTTTTCAAGAACTTGGTTTTGACAAAAATATATCACATGATTGATGATGATGAACCTATTTTAGAGAAAGCAATAGGGTAAGCTTCTATTTCCTTGTCGTTGTGGTAAAACTTTTTAGTTGCTCTTAAATTTCACATTTATGTTTGGTACTTTGTAGAACGGAGATTGAATGGTATCCAGGTAAATGCTTGACTCAGAAGATCCTTAAGAGGAAGCCGAAGAAGGGGTCTAAGAATGCAAAACCTATTACAAAGACTGAAAAATGTGAAAGTTTCTTCAACTTCTTCAGCCCTCCCGAGGTTCCTGAGGATGAAGATGATATTGATGAAGATATTGTACGTTTGTCAACTTTATACACGCCAAAATACTGTTGAAGCCGTTATAATTCATAATCTGGTTTGTCCTCTAATCCATTCACATGATTGATTAACAGGCTGAAGAACTTCAGAACCAAATGGAGCAAGACTATGACATCGGGTGAGTCACCCATTCTATTTTCACTTTTTAGTTCTGGATATTGCATACAAGGATTGAATGTGTGCCCCCTTATTTTTAAGAATTTGTGATAAATTGGTAATTAGTTTTTAAGAATTGGGAAGCCATACGAAGTAGTACTCGATTTTATAAAGAATGTGGTCATGCGAACTCACATCTAATTGCTTTTTCTTCTTTGGTATGTGCATGGAGGGGGATTCATGCCTAATTTTTGTCTTCAAATTTAACTTCCTGAGGATCCTTCTACTTTTCTCTATAATGGAGAATGTTAATGGGAAATTTGTAAAATTTGGTTTCTTGAAAAGATCAATTGATATATAAAAGATTAGGGACACTTTTTCATGACTTATGCAAAGTAATGTAATGTGATATGTGGGTTCATATATGCAGTTCAACCATTCGGGACAAAATTATCCCCCATGCTGTCTCGTGGTTTACGGGGGAGGCTGTTGAGGGGGATGACCTTGAAGACATAGATGACGACGATGATGAAGATGATAATGATGATGAAGAAGATGACGATGAAGAAGATGAAGATGAGGACGAAGATGAGGATGCTGACGAAGATGAAAATAAAGCCAAATTACTCACGAAGAAGGTAACATGTACAAAATTCTAAAGAAAAGCCAAAGTCTCTTCCTTCCCACTGTTGGTTTTCAATTTCTGAACATACTAATACTTTATTTCCCTGTTTCTCGTGGCTCTTTGATTGGGATTTTCAAGCAGTCATCTGGACCAAAGGTGAGAGATGCTATAACTACGTAATTTGTTTTTTACTGTGTACAAAATGTAAATATTTTGAACAGTGTGCTTTTGGATAACGTCTGTTTTACTGTGAATTACAGAAGAGTATGCGAGCACTAGCTAAGGAAGGTCAGCAGGGTGAGCGTCCACCAGAATGCAAGCAACAGTAGTAGTGTTATCAGATTGCAGACCAGAATGCAAGCAACAGTAGTAGTGTTATCAGATTGCAGACATATTCGCTTGGGAACACTGTGGGGTGATGTCCTGAGTTTTTGAGAGTTTTGGGTAGGGTGCGGTGATGTCCTGAGTTTTTGAGAGTTTTGGGTCTTTGATTTCTCCATTTTCTATTGAAGTTGTTTGGTTCTCTCTCTCACTCTCTCTCGATATTTTTTCTTGTGAGGAACATTCATATTTTGTTTTTTTGGAAAGTATTTATATTCCGTTGGGTATCTTGGGCTTCATGGGTTGGGATTGTTGTGAATTTTAATCAGAAATTGAATTTTAATCAGAAACTAGTGGAGCATGTCTATTATTTGGTATACAATGATTTTTAGCAATGTTTTTTAGCTTTTATGCTTCTTTTTTGTTTACTTTCTTGAGTTATAGTAGACAGAATGGAACACACTTGCCTGATAGGGTCGGGGCAAGCTCATTGATGATGTAGTTGTTGTTTTTGAACTTTTTGTTAATTTTTGTTTTTAAAGACAAAATACAATAACAAAAATGATGCGCAAAAAATGTTGTTGTGTTGCTTCTGGAGAATGTCTTTCAAGAGAATAATGTATTTTGAAAAAAAAAAAAAGAAGAGAAAGTAGTAGACACATTTGTTTATTTAATTTATGCAATGACAGACGAGATCATCATAATTTATTATTCGGGTGAATCAATATATGTAGATCCTCATGTTGTTCGTGCAAATTCTCAAATCTTAAATCTGTCTCTTTGTTTCACATGATGTGAGGCTTTTTCATGTTCCAAACACTCCCTTTTGAGGTTCTTACTCTCCTTTTCCATTATTGATGGCATAAAGTGAGCCCAATCACAAATAGTCAATGTGCGAGGAAGGATCTAGTGATGTTGAATGAACCCATACTATGTTCCCCCAATCTGCTGCAACATTTGGGTTGTACTAATAGAATAGATGGTATATCCCTTTGTACATCATTGGCCCTACAACAAATTAACAGAAAGATGAGCTTAAAAAAAAAAAAGAATAACATTTCTTGCAATCCATATTAAGGACCTGTTTATTTTCAGAGTTAGGTTGGATAAGATTATTAGTGTCGAACTTGTTAGTGAGAAGATTATTAGTGTGGTAGAATTAAGTGAAAGAATTAAGAAAAATTGTTTGTTTGATGACCACGGACTAGTAAAAATTCTTATTTGTTTTGTCATTCTATGCTGGAATTAATCCTTGATGTTTTTGACAAATTTTAATATTATAACAATTATATATATTTTTTGGTACTATATTATTTTAATATGTCAGTTTTTTGTTGATATATATATATATATATATATTTTGTATAAATATATTATGAGTGAAGTATCAATAAATCTCAAAATATAATCTTATAAATTGTTTAGTCCTTCAATTTTTCTTATGAACCCAAAAGTCTCATTAAAGTGAAAATTCCACAACATGTTTGAATTTAATTTTTGAGGGATAAAAGTGGATTTCTAAATGTAAAATTACACATTTGGACAATCCACATTATAGAGGTTTTGGATTTTCCTTCATTATTGAACAAATTTCACATTATGAATAAGAACGTAACATTCTAATAACATAACACTTCAATGTAACACACTAAAACACTCCTTCATGTATTTTTTTCAAACGTAATAACGTTACACTTCAAAAAAACTCCTTAGTTTATTTTTTTCCAAACGTAACACTTCAATCAATGTAATCTCAAACATAACACTCTAATGTAATACACACAAAAACACTAAAAAAAATCTTTAGTGTTCTTTTTCCAAACGTAATACTCACAGTTTAAAATTATACATTTGTTGAAAATTTACTAAGGAATTTTTGTACTTCTTTTAGAATGGTTTGAAGAATCCCACATCCTTTTTTTGAAGTGTTACATTGGAGTGTTATATTCAAAAAAAGTATATTGAGGAATTTTTTTAGAGTGTTATATTGGAGTTTTAGGTTTGGGAATAGTACACTAACAAGTTTTTTTTTGGAAGTGTTATGTTTGAAAATTATATTGGAGTGTTACAGTTTGAAATTATATATTTGTCCAAAGTTTACTAAGGAGTTTTTGTACTTTTTTTGAAATATTTGAAGAATTCTATATCTTTTTAGAATGTTTGAAGAATCTCATATTTTAAGTCATTTTTGTATTCCTTTTGAAATGTTTAAAAAAATTCACATTTCAAGTCATTCTAAATAAAAAAAGATTCTCATATAAAAATTCATACCAAGTTTGATTATCATATGTTGTGTGTCTCTTGCTTTTATAGCCAAAAAAAAAAAAAAAAAAAAAAAAAAAACAACAACAGAAGAAAGAAATATAATAGAAATAAGGGTATCGTAAATCTAATTTTCAAATAATATATTAAATCTACCTTTCCAAAATCAACAAGACTAATTGGTCTGTAAGAAAAATCCTTGGAACTAAACGGATTACCCTTTTCTTAAGATTGGATTTATAGATAAATTTTTCATATATTATTATACTATTGTATTTTAATATTAAAACTTATTTTTATAAAATGAGAGATAAAACAATCATTTCGTCTCTAATCTCATGGAATTAGATTTGAATACTATCTCCCTCATGGCCAATTTTTCAAACAAACATGATTCTCATGAATTTCTTCTCACTACTAATTCCATACCATCAAAGATTACTAATCCAATCTTAAGCTCTATCACTTAAAACAAACAAGCCTAAAACAATTCGAGTTGATCCAAGTTTTTAAAATTAAGCGGCACTAAAGAAGGTGAAGATTTTAAATATTGTACCATGTGGTTTCGTCTTATGTTGCCATATACACGAATAGCATCAAAATGGGCTGTAGGAAATAAAGAAGTTAGTACAACAGATTACAATGCCATGGTGAACCAACTTAATCATGTATAATTTGTGAGATACTTAAATTTGGAGACATAATTGTTGAAAATAATTGAAACATACAAATGGAATAGACAAAACATCCGTAACTCTTTTTTCAATCCCAGGCTTGTCTCTCATCTCACTACGATTGGATATTGAGGAGAGAAAAATAAAATGATTTGTTAAGTTGAAAAGAAAAGAATAACATAAAATAAATAGTGGTTTCTCTACAATTTTGTTTGGATAAACTACATAAAAGAAAAAACTCTTGCAAGCTATATTACGAAAATAGCCTTTTATGATCTTATTTCTTTTGTTGGTAGATGAAAAATTTTGGTAATATACAAAATTAATAGTTTTCCCATTTCTTCTCTCCCTATCTATCCAATTTGAGAGATTCAAAAAGTGATTTATGAGGAAAAAAAATCAAAAAAGTTCTAACCACAAAAGGGTGACCTTTGGGGTTAGACCCGAAGGAGCAAAGGCCCCAAAGTTCACTCTTAGGTGGTACTACCTAAAAGGATCATTCAACCATGTACTGGTAAGTCGCGAACTCGTACACAGCCAGGGATTCAAATCTACACTTTCAACACTAGGTATGATCCGCCTAGGTTTGAAAAATTCGTTCTACCAACTATATGTGTTGTCGCTCAGGTGACTGGTCCCAGAGAGAGTGAAACCTAGGACCTCAAGACTTATGCCTCAAGATCTTACCAAGTTGCCAAACCCCCTTGGGTTAAATAAATAAATTTCTCTTCATTTATTTCAATTTTCTTATATTTAAGTAATCCAAACAAGTGATTAAGATTAGAGAGATTGACTTCCATTTTTTTCTCTCTAAATCACTCAATCCAAACGAGGTATAAATGAAAACGTTGACAAAATAACTTATCGAGCATTTGTGGATAGGACCCCATCTACGCCCAAGTGTCATTGAGTAGCTTGTAAATGTTTTTTATCTCTATGTTTTGATATTCCTTTGGTAACTAGGAGATTGGTGAGTTGATTTAATCATATATCTTCTTCGTTCAAAGGTCAAAGCTAATGGCCTTACAAAAAGAAGGTAGTGCATACCAAACAATGAGGCCTATGCTATATTTTGAATTTTCATCCTTACAAAAAGAAGGTAGCGAATACCAAACAATGAAGCCTATGCTATACTTTAATCTTGAATTTTCATCCAAAAATCTTTTTTTTTTTCCTTTTTTTTTTTTTTTTTCTTTCCCTTCACAAATATCTGTACAAATTTATGATCCAAATGTAATCATACAATTGTTAACAAAACCAAGAAACCTAAATAGAGATTTTTAAGATTTGATCAAAACTCTCTTGCAATAAAATTTTAATACATCAAGAACGAGTATAAAAAAAAAAAAGTTTAAAAAATCCAACACATACTACTATTATCAAAATATTAAATTTTATAATAATATAATTTTTTATATAAATATCAATTTTTAATAAAATTAATATTTTTAAAATCCTCTCGACAAAATCTATTAGATAAGATCCATTTTAATTATAAAATTCTTTAAAAAAAAATGACAATATTATTCAAGAAAAAAATGTTTTACTTTGTTCTTACTTAATTATGTATTTCCTCCTTGTGAATTTTATGAAGCAAAATAAATTAAACTGTTATTTTCACCAAAGAAAAATTTTGACTAAATTTTCCAATTTTTAACGAAAGGTTAGGCTTATCTCTTGATAGATGTCTGGTCCAAAATTATGTAAGCAGTTACTGGGTCCCCCACAATTTTGCATTGAACTTCAATCCAAATGAAAAGTGAATTCGCTTTCAAATTTCAGCTTAATATCCATTCACAATCACAAATGCTTGAGACCCTACAAATATTACTAAAAATTATACACAATACACTCCTCGTCTTGTCCTGATTCTCTCAGGCAACTGTTCCATTCTGTCCCCTAATAACTCATGAAAGTATACAAAAAAAGAAACATAAAAACTAAAATTCACTGTATTTCCAATTAAAATTCACAACAATCCCAACCCATGAAATACCAAGATACCCAACAAAATATAAATGTTCCTCACAAGAAAAAATATGAGAGAGAGAAACAATTTCAATAAACAGGGGGGCAAATCAAAGACCCAAAACTCTCAAAACATCACCCCACCCTGTGTTCCCAAGCGAAGATGTCTGCAATCTGATTACTACTGTTGCTTGCATTCTGGTGGACGCTCACCTTGCTGACCTTCCTTAGCTAGAGCTCGCATACTCTTCTGTAATTCACATCAAAACAGATGTTATCCTAAAGCACAGATCATTGAAAATCTTTACATTTTGTACTGAGTAAAAAATAAATTATGTAGTTACATCATCTCTCACCTTTGATCCAGACGACTGCTAGAAAACCACAATCAAGCGGCCCATGGGAAAACGGGGAATAAAGTATTAGTATGTTCAGAAATTGTAAATCAACTGTGGGAAGGAAGAGACTTTGGCTTTTGTTAATAGTTTTGTAAGTGTTACCTTCTTTGTGCTGGTTTTGACCTTCTCTTCATCTTCGTCTGCATCCTCATCATTGTCCTCATCTTCTTCATCTTCATCCTCATCTTCTTCATCATCATTATCATCTTCATCCTCATCCTCATCATCTATGTCTTCAAGGTCATCCCCTTGAACAGCCTCCCCCGTAAACCACGAGACAGCATGGGGGATAATTTTATCCCGAATGGTTGAACTGCAAATATCAACACACACATTGTATTACTTTGCTTCACAAAAGTTGCGAAAAAGTGTCTCCATAATCCTTTATATATCAATTGATCTTTTCAAGAAGCCAGATTTTACAAATTCCCATTGCCATTAGTCAAAAGTAAAAGGACCCTCTTTAAAAGATTAATCTTAAAGAAAAAAGTTAGGCATGATTCCCTCTCCACGCACATACAAATGGAGCAAAAGCAAATAGGAGTCCGTTCACATAACTGTGTTCCTCAAAAAATCTAGTACTAATTAGTCCTACTTCCCAATTTTTAAAAACAAAATCGCATTCAATCTCTGTAAGCAAAATCCAGAACTGAAAAGCAAAATTAGAATGGGTGACTCACACTCACCCAATGTCATAGTCTTGCTCCATTTGGTTCTGAAGTTCTTCCGCCTGGTAATCAATCATGTGAATGGATTAAAGGAGAAACCAGATTATGAATTATAATGGCTTCAACAAGTATTTTGGTGCATATAAAATTGATAAACGTACAGTATCTTCATCAATATCATCTTCATCCTCAGGAACCTCGGGAGGGCTGAAGAAGTTGAAGAAACTTTCACATTTTTCAGTCTTTGTAATAGGTTTTGCACTCTTAGACCCCTTCTTCGGCTTCTTCTTAAGGATCTTCTGAGTCAAGCATTTACTTGGATACCATTCAATCTCCGTTCTACAAAGTACCAAACATAAATGTGAAATTTAAGAAGAACTAAAAAGTTTTACCACAAGGACAAGGAAATAGAAGCTTACCCTATTGCTTTCTCTAAAATAGGTTCATCATCATCAATCATGTGATATGTTTTTGTCAAAACCAAGTTCTTGAAAAAATGATTGGTATCAAAGAAGAACTCGAGCTTAAATCCCTTGGGATTATCAATCCTACACCACTTGATATCTTTAAGATATTTGAGGGCCTCTTCATCGCGCTCTGAGATCTAAACAAGGGTCAACAAATCACAGTCAACTCAGATTAATACCCAAAAAGAGAAGAAAAAGGTTGGGCATGGGGATGGGGAGGGGAAAAGATTGGTGTATTGTTCTCTCTCTTACCTCCTCAGCCAATACTTCATTATTCTTCATTGCATTGAGCCAAAAATCGGGAACACCTTTCTCGGCTTTAGACACGTCAGTCAAAGAAAACATCAGACTTGTACGTGTATAGTTTCCCAACAAAAGAATGAGAAGAAGAATTCAGCAATTTCCAGATAAGCGACCTACCTTCTGTAGACTTATCATCCTCGAGGTCCATTGTGGCTTCACTTGTAACTCCTTCAACTTCTACAACACCATTTACAATTTCACACCTCTGCAACATGCCCAATTACATTACAAGCCAACCAACAAAGAATTACTATTTTGACCAAACAAATCAGCAATTGACATAAATTTGAACTTTTGACTACAAGAAATTATGACACACCCGAGGAAATCATTAAAAAAGCAAGCAATGCAGCACTTAATGAGTGACATTCTCCATACCTTATCGTACAGTGGTCCGTAAAGCTTCTGGTATTTAGCTTCAAGGGCTGCTCTCTCCTCGAAAAACTTCGCCTCCAACTCATCATGTTGGCTCTGCAATGATACAGCAAAGCATTACACTTGAACACACCCAAGAAATCAAATGTTGAAGAGAATCAAGGACACAATATGAGACACAAGAACCAACAAGGACATTCCCAAAAATAACCACATAATCAAGCAATTCAACATCACTGAAGCATGTTAGCATGTTCATGAATAGAAACTAAGCTATACAGCATGAATTTTCAGTCCTATTAGTAAAGATCACATATTGAAAGCAAACCTGAATCTCTCTGAGAACATCAACTCGCTTCCGAATCTTCGGGGGCAGAGTCTCAAGAACATCGGAGTGTTGCCCAGCCAAATTCTGAAGCTTATTCTGCAACGAAAAAAAAACACCCCAATCAATCAATAAACAAAACAAAACAAAAACCCTAATTTCTAAATAAACCCATCACAAACAAACCTTTAGGGCATTGACAAGACCAGCACGATCCTCTGCGCTAAGAGCTACAAACAATAACAAAAATGAAAATAAATTACAACTTCGATTAAACACAATCACATATATATATATATAAAGAGAGAGAGATAGGGTGGTAGGTATGAAATTACCGGCGGCTGCCGCGGGGAGGGCGTCGCCGAGATCGGACAAGTCGAGCTCATCTTTGTTGTTGCTACTCATCTTAGGATGGACTCTCTATGAAACCCTAGATAGAGACAGAGAGAGAAAACCCTAGTGAACGCAGTTGAAGAGAAAATGAGGGAAATGAGAGGAGAGGGTGTGTGCACGTGTTGGGTTTTGGTTTTGTGATAGATATGGGCTAATTTGCCTACTCCCTTGTATCATCTCCAACGGTTCATCAAACCTGATATTAAATTTAAAATTTGATGAAAAAATTATTTTTTTTAGTTTCAACAGTTTCACCAAATCGATATCAAATCTAAAATTCAGCAAATTTTATACCAAATGAGAACAGACGAAGCATTTTACCATATCACTGTTCCTAACCGTTGGGAGAGACCAACCGGTCAACCAGCCGGTTGACCAACCGGTCGACCGCCTAAAGGTTCAAACAGTAAAAACTTAGTTTTTGCCGATTAAGTTGTAAGTAAAATTTAAAGTTGATACTATAAAATAAATTTTCAAAATAAATATATATCGTACATAAGAAGCAATTTCATAAGCTGCTCTAAAGAATTTCGATGTGGCCTAACCGGTCGACCAGCCGATTGACCAGCCGGTCTACCACTAAAAAGTTCAAAAAGTTCAAAAAAAAATCAAAAAAAAATAAAAAATTTCGCTTAACCGGTCGACCAACCGGTTGTCCCCGGCACAAATTTGATGAAAGTGCACCGAGCGGGTGGTATCAAATTGGTAAAATGAGTCATTTTTTACTCAAATTTGATAAAAAATCTGATTCACCGTTGGAGATGCTCTTAAAAGTTAAATTTTCAATTTTAATCAATTTTGGATTATAACCTTGTTGAGTTTTGGTTTTCAAAAAAATAATTTTTAAAAAATTTTATTTTTTTATTTTTCTTATTTTCATATTTTTAATGAATTTTTTTAATATTTTAAATAATTTTTTTAATTTTTAGATACACCTAATATAAATATACTTAAATAATATAATATTTGTGAAAAAAATTAAAAAATATACTAATTACCAAAAAATACAAAAAAATATATATGAAAATTTAATACATTTTATTGTATTTTTGTGTATTTAATTTTTTAAAATATTTTTTCATAAATATTTTATTATTTAGATACATCTAAATAAAATGTATCTTAAAAAGTAAAAAAAAAATTACTTAAAATTTTAAAAATATTAAAAATAAAAATAAAAAAACAAAAAATAAAAAATAAAAAATTTAATTATTAAAAAACTAAAACCAAACACACTATTTATTTTTTATTTTTTTTACTTATTTTTTTTTTTAAACAAAGTCAAAAATAATAAAAATAATTTTTAATCAACTTCTTTAAAAATTCTCAAAACTTATTTTTACAAATGGCTACTGCTCGACCAACGCAGAATCTACTCTTGAGATGCACAACCTCAGATCCAAAACAATGGAAAATTGCCCCTTGTCTAAATTAATCAACTTCCTTAAAAAGTGGCTCTGGGCATAAATATATATACGGCTGAGGAGATAATATATATATTTCTTCTTTTATTAAGAAATATATATATTTCTTTTTTGTTTTTTTTTTTGAAAAAAAAAAAAGATGTTCTGAGATATTATCACTATATCCGTAGATTTACATCTTAAGGTAGCCAGTTGCCAGCCTGATTTAACCCAATCTAAATGAAGAGACCCGCCACCAAACCACCAATGGAGCTCAACCATTACCGTTTCAAGGATATGGAACTTATGCCACAAATGAGCCCAATTGAGCTTAATTACACGCCACAGATAAACCCAAATTTCGAGGAGATTAAACTCAACCACACATTACAGACGAGCCTAACTTTTGAGAGGAATATAAATAAAGTCTCTGAAGAGAACCAGTTGAAAAGCAACGGAACAGAATTCATCCCTTCCAAAAATCAAATCTAGGTCACTGCTGTAGAGAGAGATACCCTATCTACTAGGCCACCACCCCCATATTATTTATTTTTTTATGTTTTTTGGGTTTAGTTTTCAATAAAATGCATATAATACCAAACGTAGAAGGTAACACGTTTATCTCTCAAAAGGTAAGTATTATGTGTGGGTTTCATATTACGTGGTATTACGTATATAATGTGGGTCTCATCTTTTATGAAACGTTTGTGTTTACTTTCTGTATTTTTAGTATTATTGTTTTGTTTTTATTTTTTATTTTTTTATATTTTAAATATGGGTTATTTTTAACAATAAAAAATAAAAAATAATCAAATTTCAAAAAATAATTTGTTTTGTATAGTTTTTCTAACAAACTAAAATATGATAATAAAAAAACGTAAATTAAAAGTATCGCTTCTGTTTTCTAATGATTAATTTTTTTAAAAAAAAAATTTATTTAACTTAGTTTTTGCCGATTAAGTTGTAAGTAAAATTTAAAGTTGATACTATAAAATAAATTTTCAAAATAAATATATATCGTACATAAGAAGCAATTTCATAAGCTGCTCTAAAGAATTTCGATGTGAATAAGTATTGGAATACATATTGGTTACTGACACGTAATTGATATTGATGGATATATTTTTTCAAAGGTGAAGCTCGATAAACACATAATGCATGATGGGCATGGCCTAGGAAGAGTTATCTTAGGTTACCCAAACAGTCACTCAGTTGAAACCCGACAGAGTAAGCCCAACACTAAGCCTAGTAGAAAATTCACAATGGTCAAGTCCAAGTACCGGATAGACATGTGTTAGATAGGGAGTTAGCTATGTGGTAGATAAAGATTTTGGAGAGTTATTGAACCCACGCACCAAGCATTAAATGCAACAAGTCCTCTGTGTTCTGGGACACGGGAAAACCACCATGGCTGACGACAAGTAGATGGCAGGCTTTCAGCCAATGGGACAGCGTGAATAAATAAGGATATGATTAATAAGCGATATAAGGAAGCCTCCAAATAACGTTTTTTAGTAACAAGTAATACTCCCTCTTTTCCTTCTCTCTCACCCCTCAGTTTTTCTTTATCTCTCTTTCTCGACCACTTCAAGTCTAACTTAATCATCCGAGAGTCTACGGGGAGAAACTAATCCAGTCTTGGTACCTTTTCATTGGATCTTTTGCAGGCTTACACAAGGAAGACGAAGGTCAACAGACTCGCTAGGTTAGTCCGACCCATGCCTCGCTGATTGTATTGCGTCAAGGCATATCTTGTTAACTCATGTTTTGTGCTTTTTTTGTCTGTATAGTTTCTATATTTATAGCATAATTCGATGGAAAAATTATACAACAAAAGGCATGTGACAATGACGAGGTTGTAGTACTCCACTTATGAGGATGGAAAAATTATACGACAAAAGGCATTATGGGGATATATTTTCTGAGTACCAACACGTGGCAAGGTGACGCCGACGTGTCAGCCGAGGTTCCACGTGTCCTGGTTGTGACGCCGAGGTAATCTTGGCAAGGCCGAGGTTATCTCCGAAGATATCGGAATCCGAGATAAGCGGATAAAGGACAAGAGTCCTAGAATAAAGAGGGAACTCAACCTAGATATGGACAAGAGTCCTAGATTGGGAGAAGACTTCAGTTTGTATTAAGATAAGACTCTTAGAGAGTTTATCCTAATCTTACTGGCACCCCCATGGGTCTAAGGTATGCTTTTGATACTCAAGCTTGTGAGTTTTAGCACTTGATTTATCTTTGAGAGATATACTGGCTTGATCGTCGGAATGCCCCCGGGTGGACAAACCACCGCCGGAATCTTCTCTTTCTATTACAGGTCAGCCAGGTGCTATCTATTCTGCCGGTACTCTCCAGCTGGTTACTAAGCGGACAGTGTGGTCAGAAAATCACCCACACAATTTGGCGCCGTCTGTGGGAATGAAAGAAGAATAGATGGCCAATGACGGACAGAAGGATCAGATTAGAGACAGCGCTCCTGCTGGGAGTCGGAGACCTATCGATCTCGACGTTGAATGGGACAATAGCAACACAGAGACTCGTGACCAGAGTCACGGAGTGAAAAATGCCAGCCAGGAAGGTGACGCACCAAAGACAACAGATTGAAGCAGATACTACAACGAAGATGACCTCTAGGTATGGAAGGATAGATACCTGCGGAGGAACGAAGACCCTTCCAGAAGGGATGCAAAGACAGGGGACATGAGCGCTCCTAAGGAGATAACATTCAAGTATAGAAGAACTCATCCTGAGTGAGCAGATCCCGGATTCTAGATCCTGGATCCCGGATCCGAGAAGACATGATCTCAGCTTAGACAAGTAGGCCCGAGAAGACGAGAGCTCAACCTAAGTGAGCTGATCCCGAATTCCAAATCCCAGATCCTAGGAGACATGATCTCGGCCTAGATAAGTAGGTCCGAGAAGAGAAGAGCTCAACCTGAGTGAGCAGATCCAAGATTCTAACAGACAAGATCTCGGCACTTAAGTCCGAAAAGAGAAGAGCACAATGAGCAGATCTCAGATCCTAGAAGATAAAAAGGAAACACACAAGATCAGACTAAAGTTGGCCAGAATTTAGAAGTATGCTAGGGCCGAGGAGGACATGTCGGGAACAAAGACGTCAAAACAAGAAAAGAGAAACGGCTCGTCGATGTGAGGCCGAAAATCAAACTCAGGTTGGAGCCAAGTAAGATCAATAGAGAAACCAAGGCCGACAACCTCGGTTTGAATTCAACCTCGGCGACAAGGTCAAAGCTACATGTATGATGAGAACCCAAGTGGATTTTAAGTTCACACTGGGGGGCAGAGAAAAGAAGAATGCGTTTACCACTTGTTGAAATTTGTAGCAATTTACAAGTTGGTTAAACCAATGTGATGCTTAACGCTTGTTGAAATTTGTAGCAATTTACAAGTTGAAGTTAAACCGAGATAATTGTTTACCTTCACTTGTTGAATTTTGTAGCAATTTACAAGTTGAAGTTAAACCGAAGTAATGCTTAACACTTGTTGAAATTTGTAGCAATTTACGAGTTAAAGTTAAGCCGAGATAATTGTTTATCTTCACTTGTTGAATTTGTAGCAATTTACAAGTTGAAGTTAAACTGAAGTAATGCTTAACGCTTGTTGAAATTTGTAGCAATTTACAAGTTGAAGTTAAGCCGAGATAATTGTTTATCTTCACTTGTTGAAATTTGTAGCAATTTACAAGTTAAAGTTAGAC